AAATAACAAATAATAATAATAATAATAATAATAATAATAATAATAATAATAATAATTATAATAATTATAATAATAATAATAATTATTATTATTATTATAATAATCATCATCATCATCACTATCATCATCATCAATCATTATATTCTACTTTTGCACGTACTTTCGTAGAGAAAATTCACCACAACCAAACATATTCTCATTTCTACACCTACATAAAACTAAAAATACACCTTCATCCAAACATATTCCCATTTTCTACACAAAAACCAATAATCTACTTTTTCCACTAAAAATTTTGAAAACTAGAAATTCATTTTGGAAACATAACCAAACATCCCCTTACCTTTTCAAGGTGCGGAAAAACCAGTTAACATGAAAACAACTATTAATAAATTATTTACATATAAATTATATAATATGTATTAAAAATCGGAGGCCCTGCAAAATTGATTTGTTCGGAGGCCCAAGGCGGTGGCCTTACCCGACTTGGACTTGGGTCGGGCCTGGGGCCAACTAAAATTTTGGGTTCTGGAGCAGAGCCATGAAAAAAAAATTAGGTTCACAACACATTAAAAAAATAGGTTTATATTGATAATTTTTAACTAAAATAGCGCATATATATATATATATATATATATATATATATATATATATATATATATAGTTTTATCATATTTCAAGCATGACAAAAAAATCTTAATGTATTGCACTGAAATATTTTAGGGATTAATGGCATCATCTCAAATTATTTTTTAGAGTCAACTGATAAAATAATTCCAAGTAAATATTCATAAATACTATATAAAAATAATACAAATTTTAACCATTTTATTTAATACTTTTATATTACATATGATATATACAAGTATAATTTATATAAGATTATGGAGAAGAAACAAAAAAACTAAAGAATTAACACACATATTTACAAAAACTTTAGGGAGGCCAAAAGTAATATTCAAAAAATACAATGTCAAAATACTAAAAAAAAAAAAATTAATCTTGGGGGCAATAGCCCCTGCCCCTTATAAGTCCCGCCCCTGCGTATACAAGGAGAAAATACATACTGAGCCATTCGTTATGTTGTTTTTTTATCCCCGCACCACTTGTTGGATTTAACACAGGATAACCTAATAATCAATTATTTATGTTACAAAACGAAGATTTAAACAACAAAATCTTATACCAATAAAATCTTATATATTATACCAATTCCGCTTCAACGTGTATTATAATTCTAATACTCTAGATTTAATTATTGTTGATACGGGCTTGTTTGACAATTAACAAATAAACATAAGCCCATTAGGGTAAGCCCAATACGATAGGCCCATAATGAAGAACCCATGATGTCTTAGCTCGGTACCGTGAGCGAAGTCGTCGTATGGCGCGAACTCCGGAACTACGTGGAAGTACCTTAACTCGCTAGCCCAGTACCAAAACGAGGTAAGGCGAGCCCAGGATAATACAGGCCCAAGATACATGACTTGGGGGAAAAGAGAAACCCTAAAAAAGGAAAGCCTTGGAGGCCAAGCTTTCCTCATCTATAAATAAGAGAATCAACACACACACAAGGGGATGAGATTTTTACACTAATCACTATTACATTGCATATACATTTTTCTATTCCGATCACTGACTTGATCGTCGGAGTTTTCCCGCCGGGAACCCCTCCCGGCGTTGCAGGTTTATTTCACCCGGAGTACGGACGGAGCTGGCTTGAGGAAGACAAAGACCTACGGACCAAATCAAGTGGCGCCGTCTGTGGGAAAATCTTGAAGTTTTGGGAAAACAGCTTCCGGGAAAAATCAGATCTACCCCCGGAAGTCCAGATCTGAGCTAAGAACGTGGAGAAAAAATGGAAGGAGAAGACACGGTTACCCGAAACCTGCAGAAGGAGCTGGAAGCAGCTGCTCACGATACACCTGGCGTTGATCCGCCGCCTGCCTCGAGGGAGAAGTCCGGGTGCAGCCTGCTCACACCCGAGAAAGAAAGACGAGTCCCTCTCTTTTCAGGAAGCCCTTCTTTTGAATTTCAGAGCGCTGGAGCTGCTTCGAAAAGACCGGCTGCAGCACCGGCTCCACCCCCTGACGAGCGCACGTACACCCGAGATGAAGTAGAAGTCATGATCACCACGGCCATCCGCAATTACGCCCAATCCTTACCTCAGGATAACCGACCCAAAAGGGACCTGAGACGCTCTCTGAACGAGGGGCGAACTGATGATGAAGGCGACAGTTATTCGGAAAATCGAGGAGGCGACAGCCATGGAGTCAGAACCGAAGTAGACAGCATGAGACGTGATATGAACGAATTAAAGGCCTTACGGAATAGGTCAATGCGAGATCTCGTGGGATCTAGCCCTTTCGCAAAACACCTCGATGACGATCCCATACCCGCTAGCTACCGACCCATTTCGTTCGAGTACAATGGCACATCGGATCCCGCCGAACACCTAAGCCGTTTCAACAACACGGCATCACTTCATCAGCTCACGGAAGGGGTGAGATGTCGTGCCTTCGCCACCACCCTAGCCGGGCCTGCGCAGGCCTGGTTCGGTTTGTTGCCTT